TAAAAATATAAAATAGATTTATTTAACAATAACAGATACAGATAAATTAGATTGGTGGAAAAAAAAGCCTTCCCTTCAAACTTTGTAATCATCATTTTTGTGGGTTGCTTACTCCAGGGTCCATGCCCATTGGCTTTCACTTTCGGCCACTGTTGACTGTTTGGATTACTGGTCGTTGACGGATTTACATTTTACAACTAGTTTAATGTTTTACTTTTGACAAGCACGATAAGAGTTTTGTAGCTTGGTTAATCATTAATGTTTCCACCTGGTTGTCAAATTGGATGATTCACATTTGTTGATTCTGCATCATTTATTCTCACAGAGGTTTTATTACTATTTTTTATTTTTTATTTTGCAAATTCAATTAGTCAAAACTTATCCCCCTATCACATCCTAAACAGTAAAAAATGTGTTTGTTTTAATATTGACTATTCAGTTATATTTTATGCAATTCAAAACATTTAACAATTATATTTCATAATTAAAGTTTATAAATTAACAAAATCACCCCCACCCACCCAAGCCATTGTCAACCGTCGATAACCACCGCTGATCATTGGCGCTAGAACGACACATGATCGCTCGGATCTGGTTGATTTAGTTGTTTCCAGTCAGATCCACCATGGATCTAACGAGAAATAGCTAGATCTACGGCTAGAGATCTGACCGTACACATGTATATGGCAGGAAAAGGCCAGATCGAGGCATGACTGGCCAGATCCAATCGGTCGTGCACCATTCTAATGGCTTCCAACCACCATCCAATAGTGGTGGCCAGTTGCTAGCAGTCGGTTGAGTGGGTGGAGGTGTTTTTGTTAATTTATAAACTTTTATTATAGGGGCTGTTTAGCTAAATTAACAAATATAGGGGATTAAAAATAATCTAAATATTTTTAGAAATGTTTTCCAAAAATGTACTAAACACATTCTCAGAATTTTGTTCTATTTGATTTAATGTTATCCTATCCTATTCAGAATAATTTTTCTGAATATCATATTTCAAATAATGTACTAAACAGGCCCTATATGTACATAGATTCCATCTGTCGATAATAAATGTTCAAATATATATAAAACTAAATATCACACTAGATGCTATACTATATTAAATGAAAAATGCTATACCCACAACCTCTTCTCACAAACTTTTTCTCACAATCCTGACGTGACATCTCCTAATTGGCCAGCTTACAATGAGTCTCACTTGAGTGTTCTGAACCGATTTGCATACACCCTTTAGTGTTCTCTTACCACCCATCTGCTTCTTCTTCTTTTTTCAAACCCTAATGTTCTTGAAATGTGAGTTTTATTAACAGAGTGATCACTTGATGAATTATGAAGGTATTCACTTTGAATATGTATAAAGAGTTTATTAAACAAAAAAAAAAAAAAAAAAAAATATATATATTCTCTCTCTCTCATTTTTATTTTTTGAAATTTGAAGTGCATAGAAGCTTTTGAAAAAGTTACTAATAGAACACATTGATGAGTTTTATCTACTTTTAATGCAATGCATCCATAAATGAAAACACAAACTACCTAAAATAACATACAAAGTACAACGGCTTTGCCTATTACCATTTCATATATACTCCATCTTTTTCTCATTTGACCATGCATGCATAGCTTTTGTAAACTTCGTCTTTTGTGTTTTTGAACCAAGTATTAATACTTCAGTTAGACATGTTTTCTTTAAACAATTTTTTCCATCTTTTTATGTGTTAGCACGTTTCTAATTGTTGGATTCCCTCTTTAACTAATTGAAGCAGAAAAGGGACTAGCTATATAAAGTTGCGAGTGGTAATGTTACCGGGTCTTTAATAACTTTTCTCAAATTTAAATCTTTGAATACTTTCAATCCTCTGGAAGTGTACGAACATAGAATACCATATTTTCGAAGCTAAAAAGTCTCTAATATCTCTTATAATTGGGTTAAAAAATAATAATTTAATATCACCTCCAAGGATCCTTATATAAGTTCTTTGAAACTTAATACTACCCTTATAAAGTTGGGATCTTAGTTTTGACGGTTTAACAATCTTAATCTCTTTATAATACATTAAGTTTTAAGTGTTGAAATAAATGGCGAAGGACATCTTTAGGTAAATATTTATTAAGTCATTATACATATAGCTTCAATGGTTCAACAACTGACTTACTAACTAAGGGGATTTGTACTATTTCTAGACCCATAGGGGATTTTGTTATTCATCTAAACCTAAGGCTAAGGGGTTGTTATAACTCCAGTTTTAGATCTCACAATTGATGTAATTTCTACATCAATTAGATGTGTCGCTATCTTTTTCATTAGTGATGTGCGGTTCAATTGACATATCAACGGTTGCATTAATTAAGATCCCAACTTTAATTTGTATTAATAATAACATTGTAAATTTAAAGGAAAGAAAATCTATAAAAGATATATTGAGTCATAAATGAGATAGATACTAAAAAAAAACACTAAGGATGGATAATACACTAGCTAGTGGTGGCGTGATAATATAAGAATATTCAAGAAAAACTATGATAGCCATTTATAGTCGTCGTAATGATTTCTGAATAGATAGTGAAAGTGAAAAAGAGACGTCATTTTTAACACGATACTTTTAACAAGCACTTTAAGACATAAATCAAGATTATAAATTAATAAACAATTTCATTATATTAATACATAAATAATATTCATATGAAAGAAGAAAAATGAATTATATTATATATCAGGATGATGCACTGAAGCATCAAAATCTTATAATTGTTAACATAACATGTATGTAGAATATTATTGTAATGGTAGGTTTAAGTTCGAGTTAATTTTATATAAACTGATGCGATTGTAAAGAGTTGTGAAGAGAGAAAAGAGAGGAAAGAGCATGCGGCAGGTGGGGCAGAATAAATAGCACGTCCCCGACAAGAGAAGCTCGATAATCTATGCAATTGTCCGATTAAGTTTGTATATATAAATTCAAAAGGGTGTTTGGTTCAAAAGGAATTTTCCAATCTTCTTCACTTTCTTTGTCTCTTTTATCACTGTCCATCATTGCTCCTTTTTGTCAGCTCTCCTTTATTCACGCCTTCTCCTCTTTCTCAATCATCATCCCACGTTTTTCTCTATTTTATTTTTCCCCGTTCTCCCACTTCAATCTATACTTTTTTGTTTCTATAGTTGAATTTCTCTATCTCCTCTTTCCGACAATGTGAAAATCAGCTAGCTCTCTTCCGGCAGAGAGTAAGAATTTTTGAGCCCCACCTCACGTAAAGCTGTTTTGAGGAGCAGATTTTTGACTCCCTTCCATCCCAGCTTCAAGAAAGGAGAAAAGGTCACTGACTATAGCTAAGCTACTTGATTTAAAGTAATAAACTACTACTGCTTGGATTCTCTCTACAGGGAAAATATTGTTGTTTAATTGACTGAAGAAATATATGAGCTCAACTTATTATTGCTGTTTGTTAGGTATGCCTTTCGTTATTAATTAATTTCTTATTATTTGTACTTTATTTAACCTAAAATCAGTCAAATTGTGAAAATCTAATACTGTATACGACTCAGATATCACGCACATACTGACTTGAATCTTGGTTTCTTTACTGCGCAGGGAGAAATTTGAATTTGTTCATCAACAGAAACATAATTTTATCATGAGAAAATGGACTCTTGAAGAATTGAAGTTATATTTTTCTTTATATATGTGTGAAGTTAAGAAAAGTAAGTGTAATTATCCTGTAAACCACCATTAGGTCACCTGATGATAAAAAAACAAAGGAGGATCTAACATGGTCTCCCAAGTTCAAGTCTCATTGATGGTAGAAGAGTAAATGAAGGATTTAACATAGTCTCCCAAGTTCAAGTCCCATTGAGGGTAAAAGAGTAAAAGAAGAATCTAACATAGTCCCTCGAGTTCTAATCCCCACGGTTGTTAATAGAGGTGACCATTGGAGCTCTTACCCAGTTAATAGTTTCAAGGTTTCAGAGGATTAATTGAGGTGCATTTAAGTTGGTTTGGATATCCCCAATTATAAAAAAGAAAAAAGAAAAAATACCTAATAGCATATTCGATTAAAAATCATTATGTAATACTTAAAAATTAACCAATTGAGATCACCTGATTTCAGTTTATAGGAATTGGTTTAACAAGTACCAATTTAATTAAGATCTAACTATATTTTGATAGATCATATCCTTTTATCCTAGAAGGAATCTCAGTGTTTTTGTCATAATTAGTGTTGGTCAAAATTATTTCCTGTTTGCAATAAGAGTTTAATTAAGATGTCATTAGATCAAACAAAACTAGAACTGTTTTACTGAAGCCAATGGGGTCACACATGCAAAGCGCAATGAAGAATAAATAATTTACCAAACTTTGAAGCCGAGGTAGATGACTAATGAAATTTCTCAACAAATTCATAGTAAAGACTTATCACAAAGTCCAATTTAAGAAGAGATAAGATACTTTTGAAGGGGATTTCGAAACTAGTCAGATTCACTTGTATTATAGTCAAATTGACAATAATTGTAGAGGATCAGTGAAACCTCCACTTAAATTAATTGAAGTTCCATTAACAGAATTTACCTAACTATCTGAACAGTAAGATTCCTGTGCCCAATTCAAACCAATTGGCTAATTCTTGGTTTACTTTTTAGGGAGAAAAAAGCAGTATAGAAGGATAAAGATACAACTCTAGTCTCTAGCTAGTTGTAGTATAGATCTAGTATAATAAAAAGCTTAAAAAAATTTAGAGATCCTCCTTGATTGTTGCGATGTGAGAATGTTTTCATCACAAGAATCAAATACACAGTAAATTATTCTCGTGAAGATATATAACTCCTGTCTTGACTGCTCTCTCAGTCTGTGCTTCAATAAAACTATACAGAATCCTTGAAGAAACTTTGAAATCTTTCCACTCTCGTGTTTTTTCTTCAAACAAATTAAGTCATTGTACAAAAAAAAACAAACAAACAGATTCTCAGGATTGAAATACGTACCCGCAGTCCCATGATATGAACGAAGTGAACAATAGGCTAGTTTTATATATAAAATGAGCCAACTTGGGAACTCGTAGAAACATTACTTTTACAGACACATCAGGTACAAATTTCTTCGTCTTCATCACAGAGAGATTCTTAGATTCTCTTACTTTTTACCCATGGAAGATATTCAGATCATGTAGAGAATATTATTTTACAATAATTAAAAACCCTAGCTAGACAAAGTTAATTAACAAACCCACACTGCCACTCTCACTTTTTTTTTTTTCTTTCTTTTATCTTTCTATTTCTTTTATCTTGGGTTAAATAAAACAAACAAATTAACCCACACACGTAGAACTACAAGCAGCTCACACACACTAGACCATGGATTGAAACATGAAGATAAAAACTGAAGAAAAATGAGCAAAAAAAAAAATAAAAATTAGATCATTATCTTCTGATCTAATACTCGTCTCCTTTTAGAGCGATCGCTAGAATTAGATCTTTCAAGCAAAGATTTCAGTGCATTTTGCAAGAAATGGACTGATTCAATGCTGTGATCTTTCTCGGCTGCGACGATGAGAACATTACGGATTCTTCCTCCTAATGTAACCATTTCTGCTTTCAATGTGGTTAAGTGAAGAGATTTTAGTATCTCAATAATGTCCGGTAAAAGATCAGAGCGATCCTCGCAGCACAAAGAGGCCTTGAAGATCAATCTTCCATCGCTGGAGTAATCTCCCGAAAGCACAGTGATTTCATCGGTTTCTGATGGGAAGGATTCGAGGTCTGTGAGTTCAAGCGTTTGTTGTTTAAGTTCTTTCACGCGTTGAACCACCTTTGCCAGGAGTGAAGCTTTGTCTATCTGAGAAATTTTAAAATGAAATTAAACCAAAAAAAAAAAAAAAAAAAGAAAAAAAAGAAAAAGAAATATTCATGAAAACCCTACATGTAAAAAGCTTATTCACTTTCCCAAACACTCTTAACCCTAGAAACTAGGAAGGTTATGTTGCTTTTTTTTCTTTTTCAGAAACTGTACTTGTAGTTTGAACGTTCAAAAGCTTCAAACTACAAGGTTTCAGAACTCTGAATTCATCCACAGTAGCACCAAGATTATAACAGTTGTTTAAAAATGATATTTAAGTTCGCTGCATGCGACTGATCATGTTCAAAGAAACGGAAAATGTCCAACATTCAAAGTCAAATTAATATTCTTTTCTTGACTAACTATTCCTCAATAGCCAAATAGTCAAAACTAGACACAGATAATAGTGAGTATTCATATTCACAATCGAAGAAACAATTAGCCGAAAGTTTGGAATCTTCAAAACAGAAAAAGAACTTTAATTGATATTCGCAATATTGAATAACTTACCTTAGAATTACAGGGAAGAATAGTCCGAAGCTTGTCGAGATGAGAGTTAATTCTCTCCCTTCTCCTCTTCTCAGCTTCTTTATGATTGTTCAAAGCGGCAAGAGCTCTATCCTGCGGTGTGGTATCGGTAATTCCAGAGACCTCCAAGGGGTAATAGGAGGAGGAGGAGCTACAGAAACTCTGCTGCTGGTGAAGCAGAGGATGATTAGAGAAGTCATGAGAAGGAGCACCAGGAAAGCCGAAGTAGCCGACGCTGTTTTGGGCGAGAAAGCGGTAGAGTTCAGAGTTTTCCGGTTGCATGATGATGATGATGAGATGATGATAGTGACTGAGTGGAAGTGCAGGACTGAAAATGAAAATGAAAATGTTTTCAATGCTTTCGGTGGGTGGGTTTTTAATTTGTCTTTAGGGTTTTTATCTGTGAATTTGTGGAAAAAAGGCACGCCCACTTTTGAAGTGGGGTCCCGCATTTTATCATTAATGTTTTTATTTAAGAATCATTTTGTGATTTTATTTTTTAAACATAGATGATAGAATAATATTTATTGAAAAGATAAATAAAAAAAGACAAGAACATAGTATAGGCAATAGGTGAAAGTCGGTGATAGGACAGAGCCAGAAACTTTTTAATTTTTTAACCCATAATCTTACTCTCTAATAGAGGATTAAAATTAAATTAGACACTAATTTTGATTATATTTTATAATGATGCATTTAATTAATTATTGTAACACAATTTTTTCCACTATAATTTCCCTAGTATCTTCAACATTTTTCTTTTATATATTTAAACTCAAAAAGTATAGAAATATATGTAAGTGTGGAAATGGTAATCAATCTCAAAAGAAGAAAAAAAGTCAGCTATAACCATCTCTGGATAGCCTGATGGTAAAAGAATATAATGAAGTTTTATGAACTCCTGAATTTGAAGCTCTACAATCACTAATAGAGGTGACCACTATTGGAGTTACCGACCACTTTAACAATAAGGGGTCATGTAGTATATAAACATATTTTTCTCTGATATGAGTGTGATAGCAAATCATAGGGAAAATTACATTTATTGTAAATGAGAGGTGTGAGGCAATATTACAATACTATTGACTTTGCTAGACGTAGCCTGTTAATTAAGTAAACTAGGGTAAATCGCGTGTATTTCTTCTTTCTCTTTACTATTTGTGGTTTGTGTGTGTTTACTGTTTTTGGCTTCGTATTACTCTATATTCTTTCAGCCACTGGGGCTCTTACCTAGCCAACAATTCCAGAGTCTCGAGAGATTAGTTGAGATGCACGCAAGCTAGCCCAGACACCCCCGATGATAAAAAAAAAAAAGTTAGCTACATATATACTTAAAAATAAATTAAATCAAGTAGTTAGTTGAAAGAATATAATAAATAACGATAAATTATAATATTGTAGATGAAGATAAGTTATTAATAGACCAATTAACTAAAAAATTTGGACAAAAAGAATGAGATGAAATCAGAGTGGTGGAAAACATCATTTTCATTAAGTTAGAGATAAAGATTACATTCATCATAACAGAGGACTTTGACTAACAGAAAAAGCAAGTATATAGTTTGATTAATATAGCTATATCAATAGAGAAAACAATGATTTAGAGAGAGGAAAATTCTTTAAAAAAAAAAAAAAAAAAAAAAATCAATGAAAATTTGACAATATATATTTGCATATAAATAATAATCATATTGTTCAGTTAATTATACAAAATTTAATAATACTATTCTTGCAGAGTTTGTATATAAACATTATTCGAGCATTATAATATATGGATATATAGAACATTATTTGAGCATTGGCAACCTCATTGCCTGCTGGATAAATATGAGAAAAATGAAAACTCGTCAAAAACTTGATAACTAAGCAATTCCAACCATCCTGGTGCAAAGATCGATCTATCAAAGGGATTAAACGAGGTTTTGAAGATATTTAATGAACATTCTTTCTATTTTATTTTTATTTATTTTTTCTATGAAATTGTATAACATAATTTAGGGTATTCTCTCTTGTTGCTTTTTTTTTTTTTTTAATTAATATTTTTTATTGATAATTATGGATAGATAAAAGATATATAGTTCAACTTCACTTGATTACCATTGGTTGATCAAAAATTATTTAAAAATAATTAAATCCGTGCTCTAAATTTAGAAAATATTTTTAATTATAAACATTTTGAAAATAATCAATTTATGAAATTGATTTAAATATTAGATAAATAATATATAACTTCAATTAATAGATAAAGATGTAAATAGTGGTAATAATTATTAATAAAATGTCATAAAATATATTAGGAAAAATCATAAATTTATGTAGCGAAGATATTATAGAAATTATTAATATTTTGTAAAATAGTTTGTATATTTTATTGTGGTTCATGATAGATCCTTGTGGAAAAGTTTCAAAACTTCATCCCTACGTAGTGGCAATGGATGGGCCCAAAGCATGGGCATGGATGGGCCCAAAGCATGGAGCTTGGACGGTAGTAGTGTTGTTACAAGTCGAGTTGAGTCGAGTTTTCGGCTAAACGAGTTTGACTCGATAATGGGAGGACGAGTTCGTGTTCGAGCCGAGCCAGACAAGCCATTGATTTTCTGGCTTGGCTTGAACTCGTTAAAGGAGAGGAATGATTCGAGCTTGGCTCGTGAGCTGGCTTAACGAGCCGAATTGGAGCCGGCTCGCGAGCCACTAGAAAAGCATGCATCTTTGATCTGTAGACTGCTTTTGTATCTTTGATCTTTCCAAGTTGACTAAGGAAAAAGATCCATGGAGAGAAAATATGCCAACAACAACTCTAAAGACCAATTCACTAGAAAATGGCAGTAACGCCATTAGAGACTCAACAACAACAATCGAAACTCCAGCACCATCGAGCTTAAAGATTCTCCACAACAGCAACAACCATAACAATGGAGAAGAATATCTGAGTGGGTTTTCATGGCCACCAAGATCTTACACATGTGGCCATAACTTTACAGTGTTGTAATAGTTAGTTAAGTGAGTTGTAAAGTGTATATCTAGTTGACTAAAGTTTAGTAATATTTTACTGTAGTGGTTGTAAGTAACATACCTATAAGTTGTGTAAGTTCGAAGTAATCAATAAAAACAGTACACTTCTTCCCCAATTTCTCTGATTTCGTTTATAACAGGTAGATTCTGCAAAAGCAATTTAGATCTACTCAGGTCTCGGTGGTCATATGAATGTCCATAGAAGACAGAGCTAGGTTGAGGCAGTCACCTCAAGGGATGGTCAGTTTCCAATTCTTAATCACCTCCAATAGGACGGCCAGCGGCAGGAAAATGGGCAACATGAGCACGACAGCAATAAGATGGCGACAGCGACAGCGTGGTGGTGGATTAGGTGATTTTTCTTTTTTACTTTTAGGGATTTTCAGTAAATGGGGGAAGAGATGTGTTCTACAAATTTTAACGGAAGGCTTGTTCTTTTTGCAAATATTAAATAATGCAAATTACTAAAGCCCCATAGTTTCAAAAACCCTATATATCAACCCTTTCTTTTCGAGCCAGATCCGGCTTGCAAGCCTTTCGAGCCGAGCCGAACATTGATCAAACTCGGCTCGCAAAATATTCATGAATCAAGCCGAGCTGGCTCGATTAGAGTCGAGTAGTGCTCTGGATGAGCGGAGTCGAACCGGCTCGCGAACAGCTTGATTTGTTTACCACCCCTAGATGTTACACTATGTCTCTCTTTCTTTGGAAAATCAAAGTGCAAGCGAGCAGATTCTATTTATCAACTATTTAAGCTTGCTTTCTTATGATAATTATTTTTACGTCAAATAAAACTAATTAAGCTTATTCAAAGGATTAGATTGCATTATTATTAAAATCTTTGAAGAATTTAAATTTCTTCTATTGGCTACAAGGGTGTAAATCGTGAAGGCAAATGAAGGTTTCATAAAATAAGAAAAAAGTAAACGACATATTCCCACCCAAGGTTTTGTGAAATGGCAAGTTCCTACCCTTAGTTTCATAAGTTTCAGATTCCCACCCTTAAATTAACAGAAAATTGTTTAATGTAACAGTTAAAAGGTAAAGTGGCTAGTTGCATTACATTAAATCTGAAATAAAAATGAAAAATTCAAAATAACCCTCCGCATCCCAAATTTCTTTTACAAGCACCCTCTCTCTAAAACTACTTCTTATCTTCCGTCGCTTCTCTCTCCCTCCCTCAACCACAGCTTCTCTTTTTTCCAATGTTTTTAAACCCGGTCCGGCCCGGCTGGTTGAACTGGTTCGACCGGGACTCGGCTGATGAGCCGGTTCGAGAGAGGCAAAAAACCAAAAAAGTCATTTGACTCAGTTTCACCCGCGGTTGGACCAGTGTTACTGTAGCAACCCACCAGTCCAACTGATTTTTTCCAAAAACCGGGTCAAACTAAAAATCCCTTTTATTTTCCTAAACCTACTTTCCACTGGTTTTCACCCATTTTTTATCCATGTCCCTAAAATCTTCCATCGGTGACTCCCCCATTCTAAATCCCTTTTACCATGTTTTCATTTGACAATCGAGCCGTAACCTACATTTTCTCTCTTCCATTTTCGCTTTCTACACTTCATCTTCGCTTTAACTTGCGTGAATCTTTCATTTGCACAAGCAATCTTTATTCCATCAAAATCAAGCCCAGAAAATTTCTTCAAAATTCGTCATTTTCATGCAAAATCCCAAGAAAAACGACTTAAAAACCAGTGAGAAAGGCGCAGAGAACAACAAGCAAATGGGTTTTTTAATGGTGATAATTCAAAGAAAGATTGATGGAGCCTCCTTAGTTTAAAGTAGGGTGAGATTTTGGACCCGGATACGGATAACATATTCGCCATTGTATTGACAAGAGTATTGACGTGGGCGAGGGTTCAAGTGTTGTGGCAATTGTTGGTAATTTCGTTGGCCATCTTTGTTGCCGCTTTGAAATATTCTTTTATTGCGACCCTTCTCATCTTGATTCTCATTATTCTTCTTTGATTCGTACAACTTTGTAATGTATAATTGGCTTTTGTGAGTGCCTAATGTTTGAAATTGTGGACGTTGTTATTGTTGGTCACCAAGTGTTTGATAAATTGCCTGACAGACACAGTTTTTGACCAACTTGATTATTTTTCTTTTTTAACTCACACAAGATACATGGTAGATGTTTACAACCGATTATTTATAGTTTCATTATAAATTTGATAGTGGGAAAACATATCCCTTTGATTACTTTGATAGTTGCATTATAAATTCAAGGGAGGAATTTGATATATATCCTTTTGACTACTTTGATCGAGGATTCACAAATCAAATACATGCTTCTTGTTCACCAATCACAATGGGTTTATTCTTTTTAAAATTCTCAGGTT